GAAGACATACAGCGCCTCAGATGTCATTGATCTGATTTAGCCAGATCCAAGAGAAATGAGGCATCTCACCACATTTTCAAAACAAACATTAAGCCGAAACGTGCACTGCAATTAGCCTGCAGCCTTTATGGAAATAGATCCATTTCATGTACGTGCTCATGTTTCATGTTGCAGGATAGTTCTTTGTAGCTCACCACAATTTTGTCTAACAGTAAGTTGAACTCGATAAATTTGGCTCTGAGGTTCTAAAATAATTTGGTGAGCTGCGAGGAACAAAGTAGTTGATATAGTGGCTCATCTTACCTCTCTGAAGTCATTTTAAATTTAAGATCCTACTGTTACAGCGGGAGTACGAGAGTAACCATCCAGGCTTTACAGTATTTGTTGGATTGAAGAGGTATTTAGTCTGCAGAGAGTCTGGTTGGCCCAGGCTGGACTTGTTTTTCAGGCAGATTGAACAACAGTTTCTCTCATTCCTCTGCCGTGGGTGTTTGGCCTGGCCAGCTAAAAGGCACTTGTAGCAGCTGGACCTATGGTGTGCTCATAGGATGACCGAGAAAACAGAAAGATGGCTGGAGAGGAGGAGGTGAGAGATGCGGGGGAGAAAGACAGTCAGACAGGTGACAGAAGACACAAAGCTGTGGCAGCAGGGGGAAGCATTTCAAGTGTTTTCTTTCCTCAAATGGTGTTAGCATATGTGATGAGAAATACTCAGTTTCATCTGGATAGAAAAAAATGAGTGATGAACGCCTTTGTCTGCTAGTGTATAAAATTACAGTTCAAGTTTATTACTCAATTATGGGATCATAATTCACAGGCTGTTTGGAGATTTTCCCTTCATGACATCACAAAGAGCAGTAACCCCTCCCCCAGGTGGGTGACACTCCCACAGCTAGGTGTTAGTTCTACCCTCTTTGTTCCTCTGTCCACAGACAGCACTGGAAGCACTAACTCCGTTTCAGAGCGCTCCTCAACAGCGACCATTGTTGCTAGATTACGAAAGTCATATTAATTGATAGGCTTTAATGGCAATGGATAACTGCCAACGTTATTGATCTTCAACACTGACATTGATAAAACTTTAATATTTTAGAAACACAATTTGTTAGCGTTAAAATAATCAAGCAACAGATCGCTTCATGATAGTCTCTATCATCTTTTTGTATATTCCTAAACATTTCCAAGTGCTGGATGACCTTTTGCCTTGAGTAGTTTATCCCTCCAGTTCATGTCCTATTGAAAATTTGAATGGACAAGGTCAATGTTAAATGGACTTGAGCTTGTATCGCACTTTTCTATTCTGACCACTCAAAGCACTTTCACACACTGATGGCCATGTAAGATGATCTGTATTAACTATTCATACGCCGAATCAGCGGAAACAACGTATTGGACATGTGGCTGCAGGGAGCTGGGGATCGAACACTCAGCCATCCGATTGTGAGATGATCAACTCTACCTACTGAGCCACAGCCCCCCCCCCCCCCCATGAAGATTAAATCCTCTGTGGAGCATGAATTACTTTAATAAAGTGGCAGCCTGTAAGATTTTAACGGAATTTCAATGTGGTTCATTCAAAACATCAAGGTTCATCGCTATGTCGCAGATTTTTTTTTTTTTTAAGAATATTTTAAACATGAGTTGTAAAGATACCTAACGGGTTGAAGTGTTAGTTATTTTGCCCAATGATGCAGAACAAAGGAAACAGAGGTCACAAAAGTAGTCAGTAATTATCATCTGGGGACAATGAATATGTTGGAAAATGTTTAAAAGCCTTGGCTATATTTTCTTAGATTTATAGGTCTGGAGTAAAGCATTGCAGACAGGGAATGACAGATATAACCCTTTCTTAAGCTCTGCAAAAACAATACCATGAACCATGTCCTACTTCTCTATCCTTGTGGTACCCTTTTCTCCCACACGCCTCCTTTTTCTGAAGTATTTCCAACCGATCTAAAAAAAAAAAAAAAAAAATCAGATCATCCCCCAATGTGTAATCTTTTGGCAGTCTCCCAGAAAGAACTACGTTTTCTTTGTTTGTCTGGCAGTTGTTTGTTATTCTCCGTGTGTGAGGGGAAAAAGTGAGTTGGAGTGCCCTCAGACGTGTTTGTGGGAGGGAAGCTTGATGACATGGGTAGAGAGGGAATAGACTTCGGCCCTTTGGGAGGAAAAGGGAGGGAGGAGCGGTGGGCGGGAGTTGAAATACTGATGCACCACAGGTTTTTGCCATTAAGCCTTGTCCTCTTTATTTATTACTGTAGTAAGATTCTAAATATATGTGTTCCCCATTAGAGATTCAAAAAATAATCTCTCTGGACCTGGAGCTTATTCACAAGCATCAAGAGACAGCAATAAAGTCCAGGTTGAGACATCTGTCAAGGGTTCAGGATTTGTCTCAAGAGACGAATATGGTAACAATAAAGCCTCTGTGTTTTTTCTACAACAAGTAGAAGAGAGAAGAGCTATGCCACATATGATCTCCGGCTTTATGCTGATATAATTTAGGCTTATTGGACGGCCAGAAAGAGAAAACAATAGCTATGTGTTCTGAGTTTAAATAAAGAATTCCCCCCAGCTGTACCCCACTGCTGCTGAGGCTCTGTGTTTTTGGAGTCAGTTGGGGAGAATTTAACATTTTTATCTAACTGTCTTTCACTCACACTTTAATGATTTCCAAATGTTCCATCTGATTGCCATTGGCAGCCATTGCGTGTTTAGGGTGATGTGTTTGAAATGTGAGCAAGCATTGGCTGGCATAAAGCTGCGGGGTAAAACATGAGGTCTGACCCCGAGAAAAAACAAAGCCACAGACTTTCTCAGGGGATACACAACTCTCTAATGGAAAAGAGATGTTTGCTACCTCTGTCAGACCTCAGCGCTGTGCCACCCTGACTTCATGTTAGAGCGGTGTATCCTTGTGTGTTCTCTAGTTACACCCTGAATGTGCTAAAGTGGGTCACACACATGTAAACTGTAAAAGGAGTTTACAGTACGGGTCAGGAAGATCTCAGGCTGTGGTGGAGCCACCTGGAAGCTAGTGGCTTGTTTCATATCAGGCAAGAGTTGGATGCTGAGTGCAATTCTCTAAACATTCATTCAGGTTCCTTATTTTTTTTCCTTATTTGCACAATTAGTGAAGCAGACATTGGCAATGAAATTATGTCTGTTCTCAGGCTTCTTTTTTTTAAAAATGTATGTCTTCATACGTTTTGAAATCAAAACAGAAAGTATTTTGTTCTGCTTCCATTGGTAACACCTGCGAGTTTAACCAACACCTAAAATAAGTTTTACCATCTCTGAAAGTTCTTATGCACTGGAATGGTTGTTCAATACTTCAGTTAATGGTCATAGATATGACTGACTTGGAAACAGAAGATGTTTCCACTTTAATAAAAGCTTTAAGTCAAAGAGCTTTTGTTATGCCAGCAAGATTCATCATCAGTAATACTGAATTTGGTTAGAACGCAGTAGATATAATTTGTCAGGATCCCTGCCGTTTCAAGCCACGATATTTATGCCCCTGTGATGTATTGCCTTCAATGTAAATGTTGCAGAGGTATAATGTGGGGACAAAGTGATCCAACCTCTTGAGCAGAAAAAGCAGGGGAGCGCAGCACCGTGTGTGTGTGTGTGCATGTCTGATGTGTGTGTATGTGGAGATCCCGCTGTGCCGTGCTTCCGCAACACTGAAAACTGTGTTAACACAATGAATATGAATGTACAAAGATGTGATGACGGCTGAGCTTAGTTATGGCACTTTTGTGAAAACAGCCATCTTAGAAGGGCAAGTGTGTTTAATAAGAGACTATCTAGCTATCCAGCCATGTAATGATCTCCAAATCAATAAGGAGATTTTCATGAACAAGTGATAGCACATGTGTTCTGTTGTCTTCAGGCTGAGAAAGCTGTGTTGAATAGCAAGTTGGATTTAGCAAAATAAGTTTTTTAAAAGCCATAATTATTTTTCTCTACCTCACAGCTTGACTACCTGAAACAGTCTAACCATCCCATAAGGTTATCATGCAGCGGAAACCCTGTTCACTACTTCAGTAAATAAAACAAATCTTAAACATCAGCTGGTTACTGTAAGAATGGGAAATAGATTGTTTCACAGAAACTTCTTAGTAGGTTTCCATTGGCAGGAATAAATGGACAACTTGCAGCTGATCAAAAAAGAGCGATCATCCAGGTAATAGACTTATACTGAGGTTCGCAGTATCAATAACATTATTCAAGTCAGTTAATTGCAATGCATTATGGTTAATTAGCAACTACAAAGAGTGGTAACACTGTGTTTAAATCAAGTAGTTCACAGATCACTGGTTATTGCTTATTGGTCACAGATTAGCTGCACTGGTTATTGCAGTTCCATAATAAAGCCGTTTTTAACAGACACTGGTTGTTATTTTGTTCTTATAGAAGCACGACAAACCGATTTACCGATTTTCTTAAAGAGGACATATTATTCCCCTTTCCCACCTTTTCAAACAGTCCCCTGTGGTCTAAATGAAACATCTGTGCTGTGCTTTGGTCAAAATATAACATGAATCAAGCACCAGAGGAGGTGGGGAGGGTGTTTTTTTTTTTTTTTTTTTTTTACCAGAATCCCACTGTGACATCACAAGGAGAGCAAATTTGAAACGGAGCATTTTTCTGTGTAAAAGTGGATTTTTCATAGTATGTCCCCTTTAATGTACAATTGCACCTATAAAACATCAGATTTCTCTTTAAAAGCAAAAGGATCTCAATAACATTCAGTGGGGCCTGAGATATTGTCTCACAGATAATGTAGCCTTGAGCCAGGTGCCCTTTGCAGAGATGTGGAACAGGCTGCAGAGAGTTTCCAATTTTATCTTGAGGTATTAGTCCCAGAGTTTTCAGTTTTTCTGCAGCTCCAATAGCAGACTCAGAAGACTTTTCTCAACAGAATTTGATCTGTTAAAGCACTGGAGCTTCCATCAGTTTGATTAAAATTTCAACTCTGCTTCTTTCTCTTGTAGGGCCTTTGTTTCGCAGCCCATGTGAGCTTCTGCCAGTGGGCATAGGCCACCCGGTGCAGGCCATGCTGAAGAGTTTCACCGCCCTGTCAGGCTGTGCAAGCAGGGGCACCACCAGCCTCCCCCAGGAGGTCCACATCATCAACCTGAGAGGACATGCTCCAGAGGGACCAGACAACACCCCGGCAGAAGTGAGTCATCCTTAGACTGAGAGCTAAACTAGGAATTATATTGTCTACCACAATAATAAACCTTTCAATAAAACAGTAGAAATTAGACTTTGAAATCTAACCACAATGAGAGATGATCTGCCCTCTCATCGTCTTGATATTTTTATTGTTTAACCTGAAAAAAGAAGTAAAAACTGCTGCACTGGATATTTCTACTACACTTATTGGTTCTATTTAAGGCAGATACCCTGATAAAGTCTTTAATTCATTTGCCCTTAGAAGAAAGCTCCAGGCCAAAGCTGGGCCGAAAGGCAGGTCACAAGTTTCACAATGATGTTCACCCACGTCTTGAGAATAGGCAGCGTTACAAGCTCATATCACAGAGCTATTTGTGAGCTCATCGCTAAAATGCTGCAAGCTAGTCAGCAACAACAGCAACAACGTTCTCTCTATTTTCTTTATTGTATTATACCATTTACTCCCCCATTCCATGATGTACCCATGCTTTCTTTGTCTTTGTTGTTAGAAGTTAAATGTTAAATGTTAAAATTAAATGACTTAAAACAGATAAACTCATAGATATTATCCAACTGCTTTTTTGTTTAATGTAGATTTCTTTGGTTATCTAATTTAAACTCTGTTAGCACACGTCCTGAAAACGTTTAACCTATGCCAGCTTTGATACCCCTCCCTGTCTTAATGTGTGATGCAGCATGTCTCATGGCAGGTCTTTTCAAAGTTAGCCATAGTTTCTAAATGAATCATTGGCCCACGGCTTTTTTTTAAAAAAACCCCTGTGTCTGGATTTTAAAACTGTCCGAGATTCCCATCCCCCTCAGTCACTGAGAAAAGCAGCATGTATAGACTTGCCATTGCAATTTTGCTGCTGATGTAGAGTTTAACGTTGCCAAGGCCCGATATACAGACACACAGTGTGTGTTTGAGCGTGCTGCATCAGCTGGTAAATACAGAAATGACTGCCGATCCCTGCTGTCATTGGGCGAGAGGCGGGGCACAACCTGGACTATTTGCCAGTCAGAGCTGACATGTAGACACCTGTACACCGACGGGCAATTTTTTGAGTCACCAACTAATCTAATGAGTTTGTCTTTGGACTGTGAGAGGAAGCTGGAGTACCCGGACTGAACCCACGCATGCACAGGGAGAACATGCAAACTCCACACTCCTGCGACAGGGATTTGAACCATGAACCTCCTCACTGTGAAGCAACAGCTCTAACCTCAGCACCCCCTGCAGCCCTGCCAGAGACACATAACTAAATATACAAAAGGCAAATTAGGTCCTATACATTAAAGATAAAGAAAATAGAGATATCTATTATTGTATTATAGGATAAATTATTGAAATGTTTGTTTTTGATCTGATCTAAAATTACATCTTTGGTACCTAAGATAAAATCTCATCTGATCTAAATAATCATTTACCTTCTTACACAATATTTGAGATCTACAATCAATTTTATAACTTATCGGAATACAATTTTAAGTATATATAAATTACGTCAATATCGGAAGCGATACAGATTTTGAATTGGATCTGTCCCATCTCTCACCAAATGGTCCACAAAAAGGTGAAAGCACAGGAAGCGCAAGTTAAAAAGTAGTGTTTATCTAGCCTTGTTTAAAATGCATATAGCTGTGGAAATAAGAAAGGTTCTGCAACCTTTCTTTTTAGCCAATGCCACTCTGAAACGGCTGCCTGAGGGGAGCAGTTGAAACGAGTGCAGAAGGGGATGTGAAGAGTCCTCAGTGACGCAGACCATTTTCCTTTCTGCTGCACACATGCTAAGTTCTGACAGTTGGATTTAGGTGATTGCAGCTGCATGTTTGATGATTCCAGTGAGCTTTTTCTTGCCTTTAAGAAAAAGTTGTACCAGGAAACAATGTAAAATGTGAGGACTGATTTATTAGTCATTTTTTTCCAACATGGAGGAATTCTGTTGTTGATGTTTGCAATTGTTGTTCTGATGATTGAAACTGGAATCATTGATATCTGAACGTGATGCTGACAATCATTAAGTTCAAATGCAGAGACACTTCTGTGGATTCTGTAAATCTGATTTGAAATGCTTATTTTGAAATTCCTGGAGTTTCTTTTTAAAACTTAAAATGAATCATTTTAAAATGTAAGAAGTGTTTCAGTATTTCTCCTACAAAGATGTAAAAGAAATAGTTTTCTTTGAAATGACCATTCACTGAATAACTGTGACACATAAATCATTAAAACCTTGACTTTGAGGGTCTGTGAAATCCATCTCTGCAGATCAGTTTATCCAGCTGTTGGTAACCCATCACCTCCATGGTCAAGCGAGGCCTTGTGTGGAGGAGGCAGGAATCCAGCTGTCTGTTCCTCTGCCTACAGCCTTGGCTGCAGAAGGTCACTGTGGCTCTGGCTGAGATTAAGTGACCCTGCTGGACGCTCATTCTGTGAGTGGAGATTTCTGCTTTTGAGAAGATAAGATCCCCCGAAGGACACTCGGACACTCTGCCCACTCCCTCTCTGTCCTTGATTGCACCTGGGGTGGTGGGCACGGATTGTCCTGTTGGGACACAAGCAGCCTCCTCCTGAGTGCTTTGCCTTGGACCAGACTGTGTTGGAGGGCACAGAGTGGGTCACAGCCTGGTCTCATTGATACTATCTGGCCGTAATCTCTCATGACACTGAGCGGGGATGATCCAGTGGAAAAAAAGGAATTAAAACTTTAAAGGGCATCTTAAAATGATTAACATAGTTGCTCATATTTGGGCAAGAATGCTCTGGAGGCTTAAAAGGAACATGTCAAACTTTATGCGATGAGAAAGGCAACGTTTCAGTCTAACTGACCTTCATGAGGTACCTTCATCAATCACACTTAAGCCCATTCCTCACTTACCAACTGAAATAAAATTAACTTTGAAGGATGAAGGTTTTTCTCATCCAATAGGTGTCTTTTACTTCCTAATAACAGTCTTTTCCAAACCATAAAAACTAACACTGACTATTAAAACACCTTAAGGTGTAAACTGTGCTTTTAAAAAAGTTTGTCGCTTGTTAGAATACATACAGTGAATCCCAGCTTCATAGAAAAATAGACCACAACATTTCTCAAACCACTCTTCCAGAAAAGTTTGTTCCTCCTCTGTCATTCTGTATGAGGAGTTTGTACCAATTCCTTTTATTTTTGTTGGATCATGCAGTTTCATGTTTGCCAGAGTGTGTTTAGAGATATCCTGCTAAATTACATACAATGACAATGATCCACTTTTAGACGTCCACAGACTGAAGTCATTTTAAGCTTGAAGACATTATTCGGAAATGTCAAGAAGCAGGTTGTGTCAGCTTTCCCCCAAAATAATTTCAAGCAGGGTTGCATCATCCAAAAGTGGTTTGTTAACCAGAGAGAGTGAACATATACGATGGAGGGTTTTTGCTGATTAGTGGTTAAATGGTTACTAAGGCTGAGCAGACAAACAGGAGGTTTATTGCTGACGGATGGTAGAACTTTATAAACAACAGAAAATCAAACGAAAAAGAAACTCATTCAAAATTTAGAGGAGTTAAAATCCTGAGCGGAGATGATGTTTGAGGTGATGCCCAGAGAAAGATTTGTGAAGTTGCTGACTAAAATCAAACACCATGATGTCGTTAATATGAATTTGTATAGACCTGAATGTTAAATGAAAAAAGCACCACAGGTAAAAGCACTTCTAAAGTACAACATTATCCTGCTTTTTTTTAATTCATACAAAAGCTTTTTTGTGATCAAGTTTTTATAGACACCATTCATTCAATAAAGGTACAACATTTATACAGAGATAAACCAATGGTCAAACAATCCCCCCCCCCCCCCAAACCACCCACCTAACGTCCCCTTCTACCCCTCCCACCCCGCACCCCTCACGGTCTCAGTCAAATGAACATACAGTGAACATCTCACACTTTCCCCCTGAAACACTGTCTAAGCTGACACTTTAATGTACATTTTTTTTGTATTCAAAACTAAACATTTAACCAAACAGTAGTCCTTTAGTGTCAGTGGTTTGATCCCTTTCATTTGTCAAAAGTGGATGGTGTAAGATTGTTTCCACTCTCAGTTATGGCTGATTCTCCCTGTTTGCTTTGGCATGCGTACATCCTTTGCTTGTTTTCAGAGTCAGCAGAGAGGTGGCTGGTCAGTCTGTGACTATGTAGATTTTCTCCTCCTCAGCTCTGCTGATGGGTGAGGATGTGGTGTCTGAGCCACAGAATAGAACGTATTTGGAAGTTTTGATTGATGGCTTTTAGGACAAGAGGTGCTATTTTCTGCTGTTGGACTCCCTGCTTTGTGTTAGAAGCGGCTGAAGAACATGTTGTGCCCCAGTGACTGCTTACTAAGTGTCTGCAAAGCCCAGCCTTTACCAGGTACGGGAATACATATGCTGTTGCGCATGCTCTGCATGAACGCATGTGCGCAGAAAGGGGATCACATGGTCAATTTCAGACAGTTTCACACACACACAGGCAGACACACATCCTGCAGCTGCGATGTGTGAGGCCTGGTTCACATCTCTTTCACATCCATGTGTGAAAGTCGGGGCTTGCAGATAGTCCGAATTTTCAGTAAAGACGTGCGAGCAATGAATCGTTTCCTGCCCGCCCCGGTGAACCCATTCTGTATGGGTATTAACTAAGGGGTATGAACTGTTAGCCACAGAAAGAAATGCACAGCTGGCCTTGACTCAGAATACACACTTTGGCCCCTGGCCAATTTCCACGCCAAAGCTGAGTTATTAAGTGCAACAGAACACCTCAGCAGTGACTGTGCACCGTGCGTCGTCTGGAATACCCTCACATTTACAGGTCATGCAGTCAGCGTGGAATAACACACCAGAGGGAGAAAATATGCTAATGTGCCATTCCAGTAGCCTAAAGCTAGAATTAGCCACAATAATATTGTTGATAGTATTCCAGTGATGTACAAGCCATGTGTTCAAAACTGCTGAAGTGAAAATTTAACACACTGAAGCAAGCTTAATGATGAG